AAATTTTATGAAGGCTAGGAGATGTCATACATACTGTCTTGATATGCATAGTAGTAGACATCAAGTTGAAACACATTTTATTGAAATTCTATTATGCAGCTGCATTGTTAAATGCTCATCATGAATGCTCAATGTCATTTACATTGTGCATAATGTCATAGTGTCATAGTTGTGTTGGGCAAACAATAAATCAGTGCAGTCTTGTAGTGATGCACAGGTTATTGGCAAATATTCTGGTGAGAACTTGTCTAACATGTACATATGCTGGACCAAAATCCAACTTGCCAAGATTAATTATAAGTAACACTATACACATTTCAAATGCTCACAAATTTATTATGACAATGGATGGCTACATTATTAGATTGGGTAGAATTGATTACATGATGCAAATTTACTGTGAGCAAAACAAAGGAACTAATGAACACTTCATTAGTACAATCACGAGAAAGAAATTTCAAATCCGTAATATGCCGACTACAAATCAAGTTTTTCAATTTGACAGTAAATCATTTAAAGCATTGTTATGGCAAATAGTGGCATTGAGTAAACCTTGCAAGACAATAGATAATGAAATACATGTAAAAGAATTTACTGTAGCTGCCAATGTAACACCAAGTCAGCAATATCTTTGGCTGATTATGTTGCAAGCAATGTCAGCCACATATGTGACAACAATCTACTGGCTTCCTGAAAGCAACATTACTTGCCATACAGTTGTATTGCTGCCTAGGGGTACTAAATATATTCACAGTAAAGAATGCTAAGAACACAATGGCAACCATAAATCCAGATAATGGTCAATGTTAAAAGTATCATGGCAACCACTGGTCCAGAGAACTTCTTTTGCTGAGCACTAAGTCAACCACTGGTCCAGAGATCGTTCATTGCTGAAAATTATGACAACCATAGATTCAGACAATGCTCATAGCTATAAAAAGACCACTGTCGTATGCTTATTACATCTTATTTGAATTCCTTTTTCTTTGACATGATTCCTTCTTCAATAGCTTCCTTGTACACATCGGGGTGCCTTTGCATATTTTGAACAGACAGGTTTTTACCAGCTTCTTGATCACGTCTGCCTTTCTGGATCATGAAGATAATTCCAATGAATAATAACAAACACATCGAAATGTTGCCATAAATACGAGCCTTCGACTGGGCTTTGTTAATAGCTTCTTCTCTGAAAAATAAAACATAGATAAAGTATTTAACACCTTGCCTGTGACTGCAAGTGTTCCATAAAGCAAACTGAAAGTGAATGAAAACTATCTTAAAACTGAAGCTGTAACTAAAAGTGATCAATGTAGAATGAATCAACAAAATGGCCAACATTCTATTATTTTGAATTTTGCTTACAAAATACACTAGCATCCCAGTGAGTAACCAGTGTACTAAAACACCACATCCAATCTATAGAAACAAGTTGTGTGTCAGTGAGTACATCATCTTGAAGATTGAAGTTTTTCTGCCTTCACCTTCTCATATTCATAATAGTAACTCAAGTTCAAATATTTAGTGTTTTCGCTGTAAACAGACAGAATGGTCAGAGATTATACAATATAGCCTAATTATCAAAACAATGAATAAGAGATTAACGAATTGTTATGCAAAATAACCATTAATATTTTCATAGGGAGAACAATGACCATCCCCAAACAATACCAGTACAACAATCAAGTCTGGAAATTTGTAAGCATCTCTTAGTTCAGAAATGTAGTCAGTCAGACTTTTTCTGACTCAATTCTATGGACATGTCTCATGGCCATAATTCAAAATCAGTCTCACAAAAATGCTCATTGTGCAATGAATAGGTAGGTAGCTGCTTGTCAAGTACAGGGTTCTCCCCAGGGCTTTTTAGCGCCGAGGTCCGCGGCGCTATACCTGTGAATCTCGGCGCTTCACTTGGGACCTCGGCGCTATGTGTTCCCACCTCGGCGCTTGATTTCATATTTGACATGCCAATATCAGATGTGAAAAAGCTTTGTTCGCCACGCCGGTCGGCCCCGACCGTCACTCAAAATTAGTGACCACCACGGAAATGCTTCCGACGAGGACTATTGTCTGATTGTTGGTATAATTACGTACCGACCGACACGCATCCTGTTTGTTAAATTTGTAAAATCTGTATGAAGAAATTAATAAATCAATAATGACATTTTTTTTCTACAACGGCATTTCAAAACTAAAGTCAGCGATTTTTCATTGATCTATCTATTATTTGTGTAACGCTACGATCACCGTAACATTGTCAGCTGACGGCATTGCGTTGAACGGGTATTCACCGCTGCTGTTGCGATCATCGGTCCCTGACTTTTTTGTTTAAAAATACACAAACTTAGAATGTTTGCTTAATTAAAACGATTCATTGATGATTAACTTAGAAATTACATCAAAATCGCCAACGAAATGTTGTTTTTAAACATCGCGGAAAAACATGCACTCTGCGCCGCCATCTTTGTTACCTCAATCAAAATCTCCGTTGTAACCCAGCATGCATCGGTTGTGATGTCACTACATGCGTTACGTCGCCTTAGGGTGGCGTTCCTCGGTAATGACGCACTATGAATGAGGTATTTCTAGAGGTCAGGGTTCGTTTTTTCCTCGTCCGTCTCGTCTGCAGTTGAATAATTTTTATTTCGATTTATTTACAGTTGTTTTTTTCGATGCGAATTAATTTCACTTGTTTTTTTTAATTCTTGGTAATTAGTGTCACTGGCGATGAAGTAGTAAAAACGCAATTAATCGCAGTGCAGCAACTCGGGATAGACCATCCCGACGCAATGGGAAAATTATTACTACCCTAGTATTTTGGGTTTGCCAGCTCTGCACCCTTGATAGACTTGGTAACTTCTTGTAGACTTCCGTTTTTATCACTGTTTTTGTAAGGCTACAAATGTAACTATGTACAAAGGCGGGATTACCTTTCGATCAATACATGTTATTGTTTTAAAGATGTGCTAGACGAGGCTGACACTTGTAAACAATACAACGTGAATAAGCATTGCGGGCAGGATTTCAAGGATCGCGGGCGAAACAAAAGCGACGCGGCTGTTTGTCTAAGCGACGCGGGCCCGCAGTGCTTGAAAGGCCTGGGGAGAACACTGAGCCATGCGTAGGCGACAATGATGCCACAAAAGCCAAAGCTTCCGCGAGAACTGTACTGTATCACTCAATAATGTAAACAGTTTGATTTTCACTTCTAGAAATGTTCCTGATTTTAGGATTGTACCGGTACATCATTCATGAAGACCAAGTAACTGAGATAGAAGTTGTAGGACCAAGAAGAAATTTTGACTGCTACAAATTTTCATTTACTTAAAAGCGAACTGATACTATAAATAGGGGCAAAATGGCCACCAAAATTAGTATGCTAATCCGAAAACAAAACCGCTCACATCGTGGCGGGAGCTCCGGAAAATGTGCCATTTACGATGTTTAGAGGTCAAGCTGTGATTCCAAATACATTTCTATGGGGCTTGAATATGTGTGCTAGCGATTACACTCATCTGGTTGGGCTTTTGATGTATTAATGTTGTTGTTTTCAGTCGAAACGTGTCGCGACAAGAAAAATAAAACAAGCAGCCTCTCGGCTGAGATAGCTCCGCTGTTAGCAATGCACATTTCAATTAAAAAACAGAAGATATCATTAGAAAATGAACAATATTCAAAATTCAAAATTATCATTTTTCACCATAAATGATTGTGGTTTTTAACAAGAAGAAAATATCACTTTTTACCAAAAATGACAAAAATATTCATCAAAATTAGAGAATTGAAGATATCATTACAAAATGAACAAATCTGAGAGAGGTCCACATGTAGTACCTATATATGTAATATCAAAGCAATTGGACTTGTCGTTTTTAACAAGAAGTCGAAAATATCACTTTTTACCAAAAATGACAAAAATATTCACCAAAATTAGAGAATTGAAGATATCATTACAAAATAAACAAATCTGAGAGAGATCCACATGTTGTACCTGTATATGTAATATCAAAGCAATTGGACTCGCGGTTTTTAACAAGAAGTCGAAAATATCACTTTTTATTAAAAATGACAAAAATATTCACCAAAATTAGAGAATTGAAGATATCATCATGAAATGAACAAATCTGGTACATATACACCAAGTATCAAAACATTCAGGCTTGTAGTTTTCAAGAAGAAGTCAAAAAAGTAAAACATTGACACGGACGACGGACAATCACTCATATGATAAGCTCTGCTTGACAAAGTCGACAGCGGAGCTAAAAAAAGAAAAGTTCAAAATGGCGGCTAATGTATGCAAAATGCCTGTCAATCACAGTTTGGGTAAGCGAGCATAATAAGCATTCATTTGCTTAGTGGACAGAGACTGAGTTAATTATCCATGAGCACGTGGTGCAATCCATCGGATTGAGCGGTTCCCCCTTAATTAAAGTGATTTACAGTACACACTGTATCACATGAGGCAAAATTAACAACTGTCAGGCAATCAACGTTACAGTAATCTACTGAACATTGAACACAGAAGTAACAAAAACAGAAGTTTGTTACTGAACACAAACAGTTCAAAACAGTTCGGGCTGATATCTCATTAAATTATTACATGTACATTTGTACTACAAGCAGGGAAAAAATGACTAATTTTCAGTGGGTTTAAATTTCGCTGATTTACCATTTCAGGCATATTCAGTAGGTTTTAAATTCACGGTTTTATCTTTTAGATAATGTGTTCTATGCTAAATTTTACATATCACTGGGTTTTAATTTAGTGCATCTTCCAGTCAGCGAAATGAGCAAAATTAAAACCCAGTTAATAATTAACCCTTTAACAGTAGTAAGAAGCAGACAGTACAGGGTTTACATTGACCTCTGCTACATAATGGCAGGGAACTCGCCAGCACAACGTGAGTGCCGGTCGGTCTTGAATATTAATGAGCTATATGAATATTAATTAGTAATGAATATTAATGAGTTCGGTCGCAGTGCAAATATTATTGAAATTAAGACATGTTTCACAATTTTAGAAGAGTTTGAATTTAAAAATGAAATATATTCGAAATGCGAATGCTGCAGACTAAAACAGAAACAAATAAATTATTGTTGCAATATTAATGTTTATTGTAAAAAGTAAAATGAAACGCATTTGAAACGTTTCAGCCAGGAATATGTTCTCCTTCAAAAAAACGGCCACGTAATTATTTGGAGTATTGTTGTAATTTATTATTCGTACCATCAACTTCTAAAACATATATATTCACAGTAATGAACGAACAAATAAAACTTTCAAAGTTACGACGTGACATAACTTACTTCGCGATGTTATACACCGATTATACCAATAATTTCTCTTACTCAGTCATGATGCCATGCAAAAAATGTTACTTTTTTTTTTATTTATATATGAAATAAAAGTAAAATTTTGACGTTTTATCGGGAGTGTTTATTTTTGATCACTCTATCCCTTCGGTGAAAAACGCACACCCGCCATGATGTTTGTGATGTATTAGTTGACCGGCATGTGTCCTTTGACCCGATGGGTCAAGAATGCTATTAACCAATCAGAATGCCGCATGGTAATGCCGGTAGAATCCAAAGTTTTCCGAATGGTAGTGATCATAAAAATTACATTGCGGAAGTAAAGCGATGTCGTAGCACATCGATCGATTTCAGTTGAAAACTTCATGATGGTTTTCGAAAGAGGTGATTAGCAATTTTTAAAAGGTAAAATAGTTGTGAAAGGAGAGTTTTTACATGATTCGCAATGATAACAGTTCAAATGTATTTTACCAAATCACGCAATAAACAGGGTTTTTTTTTTCTTGAGCGCGTAACGTAAACTGATCGTGAACTCTGCTTTGACAATGTTATTTCGAGGTGGGATTGATTTTGAAAGATTTTTAGCTTTCAATCTAAAGATGGTGCCTATCGCAGAAAGTATTTACTTACAAACAAAGAGGTGCTAATTTCACAAAATTGATTAGCCACTACGAATCGTGCGACTATGTAGGTCTATTGTTTACAAATTATAATCCACGACTGGCAGGATGCGCGTCGGTCGGTACATAATTAAAATAACAATCGGACAATCGTCTCGGTCGGAAGCATTTTCGTGGTGGTCGCTAATTTTGAGTGCCGGTCGGGCCGACCACCGCCGACCAGCGTGGCGAGATCCCTTTAATGGTCATTAACAATCACAGTACTGTTTTTGTGCAGTATTTCTGTGATAACCTAATATTACTGAATGAGTTATACAGTGCATGTACATGTATTTGTGGTAAAGTATAGGTAGTTTAGGAGTTTACGAATTCGTCGTTGATGGCGCGTATCGTATCGTACTGTACACACATAAACACTCGCCGGTTATTATTTTTATCGAAGAGATGGAGTCGATACATTGACGAATGGTAGAGAATTAATGATTTATATTTGTCAGAGATACCTGCAATCACACCGTAGACGCATTTTGTAATTGTCAAATATTGTTACAACAACACTAAGACCCGGAAGTTTAGTAACCATGATTCACGGCAAAATGGGCAAAACAAGGTGGGGTGGCCGAAATTAAAACTAAATTATCAAGATATGGTTCAGTTAAAAAGTATATGTAACTCACCATCGATTTGTCTCTGTGTTAGTGCGTGTGCCTGAAAAGTAAGAGAAGAAAACTGTTATATATAACGAAGTTTCGTGTGATAATAGTAAAGAAGTATTTTCGAAGAACCCACCCAATACCCACCATTTTGAATAAGTAATGACACCATCCTTTTTCCGGGACAATAATATGATTATTTTTAAAAATAGGTTGTAATTTATTAAGTACTTCAAATTAACATGAAAATTAGTTTTATATAATTTTCATGGCCATTGAATCGAATTTCAGAATTTACAATTAAGATAAAAATGAAGAATCTAAGAGAATAAAACAAATCCTGTACGAGGATAGTGTACTTTTTTCAACATGGCAGCTCGCATGCTGAAGAACATTGCCTTGGTCGGAATTTCGAAATGTAAGTTGATTATAGCGTGTATTGGTGTATTCATGACAGGATTACAACCGCTGGTAGTTAAGTATGTAACGATTTTCTGAAATGTTTCTATATTTGTATTGGCAAGTATTTGTTTACCGAGCTATATACGTCGATGTGTTGCTGTGCAAAGTTTTCGCATCAAGGTTTTACTGCAGTTTTAACATCACTGATTGGCATATGTTGAGCTACGTTACGGTCAAGGAGGTTATGCGCAGAGTAAACGCACAGCTGACTGGTGATACGTACTGCCGAGTCACTTATCTATGTATCAACTTTCCCACTCTTTAAGTCAGCATATGAATACAACTTCGAGATTACGCGCGATGAAGCTGACCCAGCAAATATCACTTAAAAATGCCGTCATGCAAGCTGGGAGGTGACATCGCTTCCACTAATTTAGAGACCTATATGTTAGTTAAAAGTTGAAATCAATAATCATTCTAGATCAGTGGTGAGAAAAATAACATTTCATGTATTATTTATAGCTCGCCCAGTACCATTTATCTTCTTTGGCTAAACCATGGCTATACTAAACATAAATCGGTAGGTCGACAGAGAATGCTAATAATAATAATAATAATAATAATAATAATTTTATTATTATTATTATTATTAGCAGAATAGCGTGAACATCACGTTACTATTCATGCATATTCAATAAGAAAATGTCCTCACCTTCCCTAAAATTATGTATACTGTTATAATCCTATCAGATGGTTACCAAACAAAACATGGCTAACCTTCACAATCCTTTTCAGAACAATTGACATGTTAATTCTGTTATGAAATTCTTCAGACAGAAAGTTTAGCGTGAATCTATTGTTTGTGCTGTGTTCATTTTCTTACATTCCATATTAAAAACAATTTTTTTTTGCTAGCCAACTGCATAATCCAGACCACACTGAAGTGTTGGGATGGAGTTACGGCATGTACATGTACCTGTAACCATGGAGGTAAAATTCTATTTGTACATGTACCTCCATGCTGTAAGCCCCATTTTCACTGCCTTCACATGTGAATGCCTTTTGCGCGAGGCTAAGCATTGTTCACTGCTTTGGTATTTTGTGACTTCTCGAAATAGGATTGGTTTTTGACATTATACATGTAGTGTTATTTCCATTGTCCAGCATAGTGGATGTTTCTGATAGATCACAAGGCATGCTATTATTTCTGCACTCTTTGATATCTTAGAAAGTTATAAGATTGCGTACATTTAGAAATGACATGAATAACCGTCGCACTGGGATTTGTGGGGAGGCAAACTGTGACTCTAAGCATGGACCTGCAGCTCCATACAAGCATTGACTAATCAAAGCTAAAACTGCAGCAAATCCAAGAGAGGAGGCTTGCTCACCTGCATGCACAGCAATTCACGTGAGCCGGCTTACCATTCATTTAGGACATGTGCGATCAAAGGGTCAAAGGTGCTTTTTGGACTTTGCTCATATTGTATGTCAATCGGGGCACTTTTTTTGAAAGGCCTGGTTCCATGGCTTTTAATTGTTTTTATCAATTTTTGTTACAGTGAGAATATGATTGTAGAATATTCAATAAGTTCCACAATGCAGTTATGGACACAAGACACTTTTTGACAGCCATCATACATGTATTATTAGCTCTGTGAAGAGTGCATTAAACTCTGTAAGCGCTTGGTTGTATTCTGGATTTTCACGCCTTGTTACAAAAGATATTCGCACCAATATGTGTCGGTACATGTAACTGGTAACGACCAATGTTTTCTGTCATTGTAATCGTCGCCAATGCATTCTCTGAGACCGTCTGGCAAAGTCCGCTATCCAGCCACAAAAATGATAGAGTCAGCAACAGTGAAGGAGGATCCCCATAGTTTAGAAATTGATGATGTCAGACCAGGATCCAGTAAAACAACTATAGCAATATCACAAGAAAAGCCACATTTACAGGTATGTAATGCAACAATGTTCTGTCTGAGAGCTCTAACAGATTGGACAATGCATCTTCTAATCCTCAAATTAATGATGTTGGCTAAACCACCAAAATTTGTCATTAAAGCGGGTAGGACATCACCTGGGCACACACTGGAATTGAGTCCCCAGCGACAATAACAACACAAGCTAAAAATGCAAACAATGACACACTATGGCCATCTGACGCATGCGCAGGTGACGACTGCCCCGCTTTTAAATTGTTGTGAATGTTGTAATATTAAAACAACTGATTACCTTCTTTCTTTCAAAATATTGTTGATTACCAACAGATTTTGTTTTCAATTTATACATATTTAACCTTATTTCTATTTTATAAGCATTTTCTTTATTTCTATGTGTAAATATGTAGGAACTATACATTGTACATTATGCTTCGGAACTCTTAAAAAGTGGTCACTATATGCCGGTAGTCATTATAACACAGGTTTTGCTGACCCACAAGCACTACTTAGTGATTTATTGATATTCATGCTGATAGATTTACTAAAAATAGAACTGATGTACATGTAGCCAACCATGCAAATAATGAAATGCCTACAACAAAATTTAAAGCGAAAGGATCGTCACCTGCACAAATGCGGGAATTGAGTCCCAAGTGACGATGACAACACACGATGAAAATGCAAAGGCTCATGGGTAGACACTTGTTTGTAAACAACCACACAATGTGCTTGTTTTTCTGTATGTGCAGGTGACAACTCCTTCACTGTAATTGTTCACACATGTGTTTAGCATATTTCAAGATGACTAGAAACAAACATTTAAACCTAAAATTTGGCCCATCCTAAATTATCAAAAAACACAGCTTTGTCAGTGAAGCACATGTCTGAAGATTTGCTTAGATGAATTATCTGTCTCACACAGCATAATTTGTGAATTAACAATCAAAATGGCACTGCATGCCTGTGTGATCGACCTGGAAATCTACTATTTTCAAACTCTTTTCTTTTATTTACATGTATACATGTACTAGCTGATGTTTATTTTAGAGGGATCGCACAAATTGAGTCAACTTGATAATTTATCACAAATTTGATTAGCATGTGGACTACCAGGGGTGGATCCAGATTTTCACACCAAGTACTTTTGAACACTGAATTTTTTGTTATGCCATTTGATTTGATTTCTGTTATAATCCTACCATTTTTGTCTCAACGGACCTATGGGATGGGTTTCTGTCCTGCGACTGTCTTTCGTCTATCTGTCTGTGCACGACTTCTTCTCAAAAACCATCAATCCGTTTGACTCGATTTTTGGTGTGTGGATGCCTTGATGAGTGGAGATGATAATTTGTTCATGAGAAGTCGATCTGCCAAAATTATGCAAATTAGCCCCCCAAAACTCTAACATTTCTTCTATGATACTATTATTTAGTTAGTTAGTTAGTTAGTTATCTAGTTAGTTAGTTAGTTAGTTAGTTTTGTAGATCCTATGAATAACTTTGTGTATGTACAGTATAAGTATATACTGTAAAACTCTTTTAGTACTATCAGTGAAATATGAGAAAATAAGCCTTTTCATTTCACTGTATCCATCAGTAGTGTATGTCTATATATAGTGGATGTATGCCTCTACTTGTTATCAGATTAACCAACCAGTAAATATGCAGAAAAAAATGTCAAGTGAATTTCAGAAATGTACATGCATATAGTACACTCTCCTGTACATCAGTGTGCCAAATACCTCTCAATAGACTCTACATGTATATAGTGAGTTCTAACAACATTACGAAGGCTGGATGCCACTTTAACTTGCCATAGTTCCAGGCCTTGTAATTTGGTTATTTTGTTGTTGCTTGGTTGTGGTAGCAGACCCAGTGGGTAGTCCATCAGGTTTAGATCCACTTTACATTGCGCTTTTCGTGACAATGACGACATTTTCTGCTGTTGGGATTTCACTGTTGCAACGTCTTTAGACCCACCGCTCGGAAATCCTCCAGCGAGAATTCTCTTTCACTGGGGTTCTGCTGTCGCGAAAAGCGTAATGTAAAGTGGGCCTTACATGTAGTTTAGGTCTGTTTGCTGCCATGTTAAAAAGTATGAATACATGTACCACTAAATGTACGCAATTTATTGTATAATTTGGGTGGATAGGATGTCCCAAGGCAATGGAGACCAAATATAATCAACAAAGTTTTATTTTTTTGTGAATTTCTTCAATTAGGACAGGCATTGGTAGTCTGTGCTTTTTTAATGGGCTTACTACTATTAATTAATTTTAATTTCAATCCTTTAGTATCTACATTGTATAAGGCCAAACTAAAAATATATGTGGTTCTGATATCCCCAACCCTATCTGAAATGTCTTGCCTACTCTGAACTTTTTTTGGCCAACCATGAAAAACTGATCACACAAGATTTCAATGAGACTTGACAAACTGATTCTGTTGTTTAGAATTTCAGCTGAAATAGAAAGACTTTTACTGTAAACATAATTAAACATGGAACTAGAAAACAAAAGGCTATGTCATAATGGAATAAATAAAAAGGTATTTTCATGTGCATGTTATCAGAACTGCACAATTTATTTATTTATCCCTCTAACTGTAGTGGGACTTTGAGTTAGCACAAGGTCCTACATAAGCTACAGTATGATCCAGACATAATTTAATATTTAGCTGGTATTAAGTTGGCTTAAAGATAGCATGTTGTCACTGCTACATATCTGAATTGTGCACAGTAATCTGCTTACATACATGTATCACATGTTTGTAAAATACTTTATTTTAGCTGAAATTATTTTTGCTGCCAAAAGGCTTTTTGGCTGTTTTGTATACAATTTGTTTTCACTAATTTTTTATGAGTTGAATGTAAAAAAGTTAAAAAGGGATATTTGCTGAATTTTATTTGCACTGACATATCCCTTTAGCAAAATTAGCGAAACTAAAGTATTCTACAGTAGGTGAATACTACAAAGAATAAGTTGAAACCATTTATAACAATATGATAATCACTTTAACAATTACAAGTTTTATGGCAAAGTCAGCTTGGAAGTGAAGTTATGCCTATACGTTGTACAATGCGATATTTGATTCCTGCATACAGAACAGTTGTACATGTATGTAATACATTTACAATGTAGGTCAATTCACCAACCAGCATTTTTCACCATTTGTATAGAGGTAACCCCAGATTATAATCACATGTGTACAGTACAAATGTATTGTGCATTTCTTACCATATTCCCTTCTATCCTGAATCCGGAACATCACTGTAATGTCAAATGGGACATAAAATACTGGCTATGAAGTAAGAACTTATTGATTGTCATTTCCTTAGAAGCCATGTAGGAAGTGTAGCATGTTTTACCGGGGTAATACAATGTACATTGCATTGAGAGTACATTTGTCTACTGTGGACCAATTTTACTTGGGCAGTTCAAGGTTAGACAGTTAAGAAAATTCAACACTATTCAATATGGCTAGTGAACGCAGAGAAATGCTATCCCACATAGAATCTTACTGGTTCTGCTATCTTTTGTAAGAGTAGTTGTAATTGAGAACTATTTTATTATCAGTGATTTTTCAAACAGGACCACAGCGCCCTCATGCCATGGCCATGCGCCTGGGGAGCAGATCCTCTGTCAACCATTAAATTCTGAATGACCGGGAATCACATGTAGCCACAGTCTTCAACTGTGACCTGTCTGATAGTAATTTTGGCCCTAAAGAAGCCATAGAATGCTCCAATTTAATTATCAAAACTTCACACCCTGGTACATGTAGGAAGAACCCTGTCTCCCCCACTTAGTGGCGCCGCTTAATTGCAGTGCTCCTTCTTGCAGTTCTTTCTTAGAAAAATTCTCTGATTATCAAATTCAAATGCAATAACTGGTAATAATGTTTGTGTACAACTAGCAAGTTTATTACTCAATCAAACCCTGTTTTTGATTTGTATTTAAATTTACATAATCGCAGTGATAGGCTGTAGCAAATCGTGATATGCATTCATTCTATGATTTCGTCTGGTTTCTAAAGTTTCATCCTCATCAGAATGATTTATATAACTCATTAATTTCCCTGTTCCATTCATAATAAAGAATGACAACCATTCAATTTGGAAACCACGCACACAAAACTTCCTAATCATGCTGATGTTTTTTTTATCTTTCTTCGACTTTTGTTTTGGGTTTCTTGTTTGCTGGTGCACTGTACCAAACCAAAAAACGCTCCATATCATCGAACTCTCACAGCAGTTACCATGACTACACTGGACTTCGCCATTAAAGATTACTGCGCAACTATTTCCATGCAACAACAGTATTCAAATGTCGTAATTGTGCAGGAAAAGTTTTGAACACGTCTTAAATGGCATCGGATTCAAATTCTGAATGATAAGTGGATTGCGTTGGGTTCACAGGAATTTTACGGGTATAACAATGATAAAAAAACACTTGTCTTACACTAAATTATTCAAGGGAAATTATGGTATCCAAAATTCAGTACAAATGTTTTGTCCTATTTTTTGGGTATACAGACAGCTAAGATATTGCTTTTACCGGACTCATCCAATTGAGCACCCATGATCAATTAAGTGTTGTCGGGTTCATATTCAGTTAAGCGCCCATTCCTTCAAATGTGACTGTATGTCATAAAACCTGGTCTTTAGGCATTGTTTGACTTTTCTGAATTACCAGCAATCAAATTTATATAATACAGCGTGGATATTGACCATGATATATCGGGCAAATACTTAGACAGCCACAGTAAACGTTTGTAAACAGTGACAGTGACCATTACAGCCCACAAGGACTGTAAATACTTCATTCCGTTTTCACTTCACCTTACAAAAATTACTAACTATCATTTTGTAGATGGTGGCAAAAGATGGCGCTCAACATGTTAAAGTGAAATTACTACCTTGATAGATTCTCCTTTCCTACAAATATTGTAATATTACCGTACTCGACCGCGTTAGTGCCCAGGGGCCTCAACTCAGAAAATCATGATTTTTTAGGGGTGGGCGCTTACCCGAGCACCCTCCTCGAAAAAGAGTGCAAATGAAAAATTTGATTCATCAAGTGACAGATTACGTCTTTGAGGGAAAATCAAATTACGAAATTAGTTGAGTCGTCATTGATTTTCACAATGAAGAAACAGAAATGATCACAAAAAATATGCACATTTTATTACAATATTAATTACGTACCACCAGAATTTACGAAATTAAAAACATTTGAGTCTGTTGGAACACAGTCGAAGTCAAAATTGTCATATTACCTCCACTGATGAAGGTGTTGGATCGTACGCAAACTCTCGATGAAAATCACTTTCCGCCATGATGCATTTGACCTGAAGCAGCGTCCTTTGACCTATTGGGTCAAGTCGATTATTTGCCAATCAGAATGCTGTGTTGTACTGACGCAAACTTTCCGGTAACGCAATGCGGAAGTGAATTATCGATGTCGAAGTACGGTCTGTTGGAATTGATTTCAGCGAATAAACGACATTGTTTTTCCAAAAAACTAGTAACTAGCCATTTTTGAGAGGTAGATTGAATATGGCATGAAATATTTACCGCATTTTGCTTGTATTAACAGGTCATTGTCGAAGCGTAATTTACGCACGGTTACCGTGTTCTACGCATTCACAACCTGTTCACAGCGATCGATATCCACGCTGTATCATATAAAAACGATTACCAAGATTCGTTACGCAAGACCAAGTTTTAAATTAGTTGCATTTTGAAGGGGTGGGCGCTTTGCCGAATGTGACCCCAAATATAAAAATTGCGCAAAAGTGGGGGGTGGGCGCTTGCCCGGGCATGGGCGCTAACACGGTCGAGTACGGTAAATGTTATTCTCATGAAATTCTTTTTTTATTATAGCTCAGCACCAAAAAACGGGTACTGACATCACTGACTGGAGGAGCCATTGCTGGAGCTGTTGCCAAGACAACTATTGCACCTTTAGATAGAACCAAAATTATATTTCAAAGTAAGTACTTTTGAAAATCCTATTTAGGTAGAACCTCCTCCTGCCATTCAACCAGTTGTAGAGCATCTCACTGGAAAGTAGTCTGTAAGTTCTGATTGGTTGCTCATCCAATGTGTACATACATGATTGGTCTAATATAGTGGTGATTCACACTTGGTGCTGCCAGAGCCTACATGTACACAAAATTTTAATCAGATTTAGTAATTTCTATAATGAATACTTTGATATCAAATATGTTTGTCCAACATTTAATTTTGGCTATATGTCCATCCATTTCCCAACATTTTAACATGTACTGTATGTTAAAAATTGTTTTTTGTTAAATACAACGTCTGTGCACAGTACAATGCTCACTTTTACTTAAAAGCCCACACAGAGCTGATTGGCACAAGGCCATCTCAGAGCAAACCCAAGGTTGGCTTAACACTACTTTTGGTTGGGCCCATGACCCTGTGCACACCTATAGGAAGCTTGCCTGTTTGAACGATCTGTTTCAGACAATGAAATTATAATGTCACAATCATGTCAAATAACATGTGGTATGAGTTACAGGTTTAAGCATGCCCTGAAGGTTTGTTGACCAAAACAATTTCTCCTTTTTAAAGCACTGAAAACTTTGTCACAATGAAAATATAATAGATGTATGTGCTTAGATGTACATGCTATCAATAAAATCTGTAGTTCAGTGTCTCTAGTGGAAAACATGTTGATGGCACACAGTGTAGTCAGCAATAGAGGCAAATATAGGTCACTGGTTCAAAAGTTTAATGTTATCACTATATGCATGTACTGGTGTAAGTGTCCTGGTATTGTGTTCAATTTAATTTAGGTTTTCCTGTTACTGAGTTATATTGCACAATATGTGTCATTGTAAGATTTTTTTGTCCCCACATTCTATACTTAAATTGTAAATTTTTAAAGCTTGCATAATGCTTTTAGTCTGGACAGACCCAACATATTAAATTCAACATTAAATGGAACTTCTGATATTCTTGTGATTTCACAAATTTAAGTTCTTTTCTTGGGTGTTATCGGTATCATTATTATTAAACTCGCTGTGACCACTATGTTTTTTTCCATTTCCATAGTTGACTTTTCTGTTGGTACATGTTGTAACAGAATCTTCTTCACTTATGATGTAAAGTCTATATTAGTCATTTCCCTAACCAATGTTTCTGTTTAAAAATAAAACAAGCAAGGCATAAGACAAAAGAAATTGATGGGTTGTTGTTTTTAGTATGTAAGCAACCATTGGATACAATTACCATACTCGATCACGTTAGCGCCCATGCTTGGCTAAGCGCCCATCCCCCATTTTGGGGCATTTCTATTTCCGGGTTCACGTTGTAAGCGCCCATTTGCATAAATATGTCGCATGTTTGTAAAATACTGTAAAATACTAGCTGGAATTACGATAGTTTTCGCTGAAAAGACTTTTTGGGTGTTTTGTATGAAATTTGTTTTCACTGATTTTTGATGAGTTGAATGTAAAATATAGGAAAAAAGTTATATTTGCTGAATTTTATTTTCACTGAATCATTCCTTCAGCGAAAATAGCGAAAATTAATTCAAAATGAAAATAAAGTATTTTACAGTACCAGAAACTCTTTGGGAATTTTCATTGAGTTTGCATACAATCCAACACATTCGGCAATGAAGATAATGATTAAAATTTTGACTTTGACCGTGTTCCAACAGCCTAATATTTTTAACCTCGTAAATTCGGGTGGTACACACATTGATCAGTGGATCTCGTATTTATACTATCATGTAATACTTCAGTGATTTGAAGGAATATTTGAACTAAAGTGAAAACAATGAAAATTACTAAATATTATTAATTTTTTTCCCAAAGATCATAATTTGTTATACATGGATGAGTTGCTGTCATGCTATTGGTCAGAAAGTTGTTCAAATGACACGCGTAGAACCCCATGGAAAGATGATTTATCATCATTTGATAACTTTATATAAATATACATGATGCACACTCGTACAGCATTATAGACGCTCACCATGTCTTTCAATGCTTTTAATATGTGCGTATATTAAACTATTGCAGCTCGTCGCCTTTGAGGACTGTTTGTTCATTGGTCCTGGAAGTGAATCGAGTTGTAACATTTTTTAATACCTATTGCACTTTTGTTTATTGATTTTTAGATAATTTCTTAATTTGTTCATTTTGGATCATGTGGACATAACTTCTATAGCCACAGTTATGCAAATTTATTTTGTGAAAAATGCTTGTGACATTCAACAGGTTAATGATCAGGCTTCAAGGCCTTTTAGGAAGTGCAATTCTTACTTAGAAAGGTAGTACAGTTTCATAAGAAATGGTGATTTTTTGGTTCTCAATTGTTAAAAAAGAATGGGTGTGACTACAGCTTCTAATGCAGATTTTATGGTAGTTCATTTGGGTTATTACGGTGGTTATACCCAGTGTATTGTTTTCATGTGTACTTATTGTTTTCCTTTCTAACCATATATTAATTTTGACAGCTTCTCAAAAAGAATTTACCTACAAAGCAGCCATGAATGTACTCGGTGAAACTTACAGAAAAGAAGGATTTTTCAATTTATGGCGTGGTAATACAGCCACGATGGCTCGTATAATCCCTTACGCAGCGATACAGTATGCAGCTCATGAACAGTATAAACTGTTATTCGGTGCCAAAGATGGAAAGTAAGTTTGAATTTGTATGAATTTTTAGCTCCGCTGTCGACTTTGTCGAGCGGAGCTTATCATATGAGTGATTGTCTGTCGTCGTCCGTGTCAATGTTTTACTTTTTCGACTTCTTCTTGAAAACTGCAAGCCTGAATGCTTTGATACTTGGTGTATGTGTACCTTGGGTAGACCTCTCTCAGATTTGTTCATTTCATGATCATATCTTCAATTCTCTAATTTTGGTGAATATTTGTTAAAAACCACAATAATTTATGGTGAAAAATTATATTTTTGAATTCTTGTTGAAAACAGCAAGTCCCATTGCATTGATATTATGCATATTGTTCATTTTCTAATGATGTCTTCTGTTCTTTAATTGAAATGTGCATTGCTAACAGCAGAGCTATCTCAGCCGAGAGGCTGCTTGTTAACCGTTTGAACGCCATTGGCAATTTTGGTACCATCTACAAAATATTTTTATGCAGTCTGCTCCTTCCCAATATGAAATGTAGATAAAAATTAACAAATCTTTTGATCAAAAACTAAAAGCAATATCTGAAACTGTCTGTATTGTCCAAAATATTGATTAAATTTACTGAAAATTTAACAAAATGAGAAAATATTTGCACTGAATTTTAAATTGAAAAAAAAAATCAGGTACTCAAAAGGGGTTAAGCACCACTGTCATCAGAATTGTACATATGCATACAAATATTTACATATTGTTAGCAGCAAATTTTTAGAAATGGGCTAAAGAGCAATATGCAAACTATAATTCAAACAGTTATCACCATTGGTCTTTTGTGACAATAAAGTACAATATTTATAACCATGAGCAGTGTTTATTGTCTTTAACTGCTTATAACATATTATGCATGTCATTAAAGACCAATCAGAAACAGAAGAACAATAGCAGAACAGTATGATTGTACATGCACAGCTCTGACAGTGTCAGTTTAACTGATAACAACCATAATGATTACTGATTAGTCACCTTCCCACAATCCAATGTTAGAATATGGCTGCTAGTCTGACATTGTGTGGTAGTCCTCAATGTTTTTGTCAAATGATATAAAATGATGATCGATTCTCTCACTGTGCATTATATCAAATGATGCAAATAATAAAAGTAGAATGTCTATTTCCTAGCGTCTGGCAAAAGTAACATGCTGCTTGTTGGAGTTTTTGGATGAGTTGCTGTCATGCTATTGGTCAGAAAGTTGTTCAAATGACACGTGTAGAACCCCATGGAAAAATGATTTATCATCATTTGATAACTTCATATAAATATACATGATGCACACTCGTACAGCATTGTAGACGCTCACCATGTCTTTCAATGCTTTTAATATGTGCGTATATTAAACTATTGCAGCTCGTCGCCTTTGAGGACTGTTTGTTCATTGGTCCTGGAAGTGAATCGAGTTGTAACACCTTTTAACTTTTGATGATGAGTCAGAGCTAGAAATTAGCATTTGTAGACGCTTAGATGGTCCACTATTTTGTATACATTTTGTGTTTAATACCCTTAGTTTTGAAGACAAGACTGATTTTTTCAAAACAAAAGTACTGTCTGTGCGTTGGGCTACTGTTAATTTTAAGCCCTGTTTCAGTCCTGAGAGGCTGTGATACTTTGATCTAGTGTTGCCTTTAAGCCTGTATGACAAGTCACTGACACAGATTTGCTGCGACTAGTTATGCTACAGTCAAACTGTGGGTTGACTCTGTATCCCTGCAATGTCAGTCTTGTTAGAGAGTACACTGTTTTTGAAGACAAGCCTTTTCAAACATTAACTGTGTTTTGTGATGCCACGAGTTAGAGCTACATTTTCTGGATGTGCATGCTCACAAAGTGTGAGATTTTGCTTTCTTTGAGATCTTAATCACATACATGGTTATCAAAGTTATTTTCTAAATCCTAATGTTGAAATGTATATTTTATGACTTCATTTGTTGCTGTGTTGTCTCCACAGAGCCTTAGATCCATTACCACGTTTTGTTGCTGGTTCGTTAGCGGGTGCTACTGCTGTTTCCTTTACCTATCCATTAGATTTAGCCAGAGCAAGAATGGCTGTTACACAGAAAGAAATGTAAGTATTATAGAAACAGACTTTATAGTGTCAAAGTGTCACTGTCGTTGCACTGCACATGGTTCTTAGATAGGTACATTTGTACCATTAAAAAAATGATGGTGTAATCAGAAATGGGGCTTTTGTTTTGGTCTCTGTCCCACTGTGTGATATTATTTCTCAGGCATGCGTGGATCAATTTATTTGAAAGTTGGTACAAAGACAATGGTATGGCCTCGTCGATGTCATTCAAACTTGGTATGAACATAACAAATGACTGGGTACTGATGCTTGTGATTTTGTTGTGTGATTTGATTTGTGATAAAATAAAAACAAATCAGGAAAAAAAAAAACACTTTTGGGCCTTAGAGGGTGCTGTAATATTATGCTATTACAAGATGAATATGGTGTATACTTTATTTCTAAGGTACAATACATTAACCAGTGTATTTTGGATGATTTACAAGAAAGAAGGAGTTCGAACGTTTTACAGAGGATTTCTACCGACTGTCATAGGTGTACTTCCATATGGTGGTATTAGTTTTTTTACATATGAAACACTCAAGAAATTACATGGAGGTAAGATGGATTGTACCACACTGAAATCTCATTTTATGCTTGATATATGTGCATAAGCTGTATTCATAAACCCTGAAGTTGATATATCATAGTACTGTCTATAGGCATACATTGTATCTGTACTAAAACAATGTGATATCATGGAACTGGGTGATACTGTGTATTGTTGCATGATTTATTTTGAAATTAAAATTAGGGATCATTATCCCACTTATATTGATATTTATTGCTTTACTATTATTAGAATTTATATAAAATCAATCTATTTCTTGGTCTATGTTCCAAATATTTGGCGTAAAAGCCTACATTTTATGTATGTAGAGCATTATCTCAAGTTGCACAGACCAAATATGTTCAAACTTAATATATTGCTAACACATATTGACTTTACTCAGTTCTCCATTTGCATGTACATGTATCTATCATTTTTCATGACTTGTTCAAAATTGTCCAAAAAAAAAATACTAATTTTGGGTAATTTTTGCTTACAACTTTGCAATCACTAAGTTTATTCAATTTTTTTTATATTTTTTTTTTATATAATTACTATAAAATACAAAAAAAAATTAAGCCAAACAGGATCTTATTATCATCAGATTGATTTAATCTTGACAAGTTGATTTGTGCCATAATTTCCAAGATGGCCGACTTTTAGCTATGTTGTTCGACTATTTTTATCTTATTTGCACCAGTTCTGTTTGTATCTAAAATTTTCAATGTCCAGTTAGATCCAAATGTACAGAGGCATTTGTGTTCTTGTACATCAATGGCAGCCATTTTGTTTAACGTTTTGTAAACATACATGTTATGTGTATTATATGCATTGTAGAACTGGTACAGGCACTTGTACAAAAGGGAGCAGATTAATGCTGTTCATTCTTTTGTTGTAAGTACAAGAAGAAGAAAGGCTGCAACATTTGTGTCTGAAATATATTTAAAAAAACAGTATTGCCACTAGTTATTCATGTGAATCCGACAACCTCTCAAATACTCCATGATTCACTTTTAATATACCACCTTGTATTACAGATTATACAGGAGGGAAAGATCCCCATCCAATAGAGAGAATGTGTTTTGGTGCTTTAGCGGGATTATTTGGACAGTCTGCATCCTATCCATTGGACATTGTAAGGCGAAGAATGCAAACTGCTGGTTTGAAGGATTATGGACATTTGTATGATACAATTGTAAACACTATCTCACTTGTCTTAAAACGAGAAGGACTAGTTGGTGGATTGTATAAAGGATTAAGTATGAACTGGATTAAAGGACCAATTGCTGTAGGGATTAGTTTTACAACATTTGATCTGACACAAAGAATGCTCAGGAAATATGAAATATTCACTTGATGAAGATGTGATAGCATCTGAGAATACCATGCCTGGCAGGAATCATAAGTGTTAGCTAAGATGGATTGAGTAATGTAATTGATAGACCATCAGGAACCAGAATCGTTAGCTGCTTGTTAATGAATGGAGTTATCACATCATTTGTCAGGAATTGTATCTGTTAGGCGAGCTGGAATGAGTGAAGTAATCGCATCACTCTCAGAAATTGTAACCGTTAGCTGAGCTGGAATGAGTTATGTTTTCTCATCACTTGTCAAGAATCGTAACTGTTAGCTGAGCTGGAATGAGTGAAGTAATCGCATCACTTTTCAGAAATTGTAACTGTTAGCTGAGATAAACTGAGTGACGTAACCATTAGACCCACTGGGAATAGTTAATTGAGTTTGTTGTTTTTAAAAGTTATCCAAGTGGCATCTGTTTGGTTTAGGAATGTTGAAACAGTGTAAATACATATGTATGTAAACCAACAAACAAAATGAGCATGTATTAAAATTGGAAATGTACATAATGATGACCAGTGTTCCATAAACATTGACAGATTATTTTGTTAAGGAAAATTGTGTTCTTCAGTCAGATGTACTTGTGGATACAATCACAATTAATCAGTGCATACAGTTAATTATATCATACACAGTGCAATCTGAGGACTTCCTCTTTCTGGATTCACAACTACCTCTACAATTGTACTGTTACTTTATTTTTACTCTGAATTTATTTCTACTGTATTTGCTGTAGGAGTGCAAAAGTGAAAATATAATTCAGCGAAAATACCTTTTTCTTATGTTTTGACTCATCAAAAATCAGTGAAAATACACTTCATGCAAAGCAACCAAAATGTTCTTTCAGTAAAAATTAATTCCAGCTAAAATAAAGTATTTTACAGTACACATGTGTATAGAAAATTAATTACCGGTACAGTCCATTTGTGGAATTAGCATTATAAAAACATGTGGGTGAAAAATTCTTAACATGTGCTACTAGTAATTGTATTTTTTCTTACATTTCAAACATCCACAGACTACTTCCATAAAGTATGAACGTGGATCAAGACAAATTTCAAGGGCATGTCAAGTATTTTTCACATCTCATGTCGATTTGATCCAATCATTCATTTACAAACCCCCCAACTACATCTGTGCCCAATTTGTTAATCATTCCTAGCCACCATAAGAAGTATCCGGATTTCAAATGCAGCTCTGTCTGTATACAAGTTTGTTAATTTTTCACACCTCTCTATGGAGGTTACCAACATTTATATGGAGTCCACCTGATTGGTGGAGTCGGCAATGAGTCAGGCAATGATCTGATGCATGTTGTGAAAGTATTTCCAACCTGTGTTTTCCTCAAACAATTTTTCGCCTTGAGACATGTGCATTTGATGTTATTTTTTTCTGTTCATTTCGGCTTTCCCAGAAGACTTTTAATATCATTTGTTGAAAGAGATGTTTCTTAGTGCCTATTTTTTTAAAAATTTTGCAGGGTACACTGTTTTGAAATGGAGGGGGCAACTTTTTATACAAGTTGAATTAATAATATTCAAAATGGCTATATGACATTTTTGCCAATTTTACTCCATTCCCTAATTGACAATAGCAACATTCTCATTTTGAGAACAATTCTTTTTAATATAGCATGACATCTTGAATTGGCGAAATTAAAGATTAGCTAAAATAACATGTTAACTAAGAAGACCTGTTTTAAAAGTATTCTTTCAGAGGCTAGGGATGGATTTACAAATAATGGGCAGTGAGGGTAATTTTTAATTTTTCAATATTGGGGGGGGGTCAAATAAATTAAATGTTTATTTTTATAATGATTATTTCCAATAGAAGTGTTCTATAAGTTACGATTGTTTTTTTTAACATTATAAAAGCCAGTCAAAATAATTGAAAATAAATTGTTCTAATAAATGCATATTAATATTCATTGTAATTAATGGTATTATTATTATACGGTACATTTGGCTGTAAAAACAAACATTAATTATCCATAAAAATCTATACAGACGTATACAAATGTGTTTTAATATACAACAGGCTTCATTTTTATTTGAGAAATGTATGTTTTATTTGTGTAATAATTGAACAGTTTTCTTTCTTTCTAACTTTACACGCTGGATGCAGAAACGTTGTAGTACACGTTTGAAATAGAATATATTTGCTAGTTTCCGGCACTCTGATGAGCTATCAAATGTTTATGTGGCGAAATCAGCCTCCTCTACACAAACGAAATTTGGGCATTTTTACATCAGAGCGGATTTCCAAGGTGAAACTCAAAACATGGATCTTGTAAAATATTTTTTCGCTTGTGTTGAGGCTGGTATCTCTCACTAAATTATTACTATACACAAGGAAAAGATGTATAATTATCACAAATTATGTTATCTTTTAATATGGGAATCCATCAACCTCTTCTATCCATTACACTCACTGTACTGATTTCATGTACAACTTTGTTGATACAATGTATTCTCAAAATAACATCAATGATTAATGCACTAAAAAATTAATTTCTTCATTTATGCTGTATCTAAGTCGCAGTTTCACTCTTGCATGGTTTCCAAAATAAACCAAATGTATGTTTAGCTCAGTTTAATCGGTGGTAATCTTGATATAAGCAGTTTGTCTTCTTAGTACCAACATTGTAGAAACATAGTTTTGTAAGATTATCACAGCCACTGGCCTAAACCTTGTATTTTTGTATAATATTTTTGACTTTCTGAATGTCAATGTGTTAATTTGGAGTATTCCACTTTTTTAGCGCAAGTTTCTCTGTTTTACTATAACAGTTTCTTGAATATGCAATATAATCTTTATTTTGTAACTGTTAATATGCATCTTGTACATTAAAACATAGAACTTTTAAGGTCTATGATTAAAAGCAATTGTTTTGATTAAATCAGTTCAAAGTTAAATGAAATCAATGTCTTGTATGTTATTTCCCAATGTAGTCATACATTGTACTTCAGACTGTTACTAAATAATGGAAGCCTTATTTTTGGTGATTATCATTTGATTTGTCCAAAAAGAATGACAGTTTGACAGAGTTCACTTTGCCATACAATTACCAGCTTATGGTGGTAGATGGTGATGAAACCGGCTTCAGTCCAACTACACAAGCAATGTACTCCATATTACAAGATCCATTCTGAAGGCCCACAGGAAGTACTTAATAGATTTGTTAAAAATCCAAATGGCACACAAAGAGTTGGCCAACACTTACTTTCTAACATAAGTGAGTATGTATAGTTAGTCATTCATGTAACTTGTCTTTGTAAAACTCGCAATCATCAGCCAGGTACATGTTTTAGAAGATGTGGCAGGGTCGGACTAAATAGTTAATTTTTCATTCACTGCGAGATTTTGCGTAATACGTGAAATGTGTGGATCGAACGTCTGCTGTAAAAATCAAATTTGAAAGTTTATTTCTATAATATTGAAATGCCGAGCTTCCAGAAGGGGTATGACATTAACGGTCGGGCCAGTGAAAATTCGAGAAAAGAACACAAACTCAACTTTGAAGTAATCCCGAACAACCAAATTTATATATGTTACACACGTAGGGCTAATCTTGTTACACTGTTCAGAGGAGTCCCAACAATCATCCCAAAGTACCGTTTTCTGCGAGTTTTGGGCCTTTGTTTTCACCGCCGCTGGTTGGCAGGCGGTGAAAATGCCCGGATGTCCGCCCCATGATAGCACAAATACCCTCAAAATACTTTAGGGTTTGTTGCTACTACAACCTTTGCTTGTCCTGTATTTACGATTGGTTTCCAAGCTTCGCTTAAGATATACGGAGCGTAAATCGCAGAGAAGCTATGCGTAATCCAGATGATATGAATCGTCATGCGTTTGGGAG